CTTTCTCCTATAACCCTAAAGCAAACCCTTGCGGCGACGCTCAAACCCAATCCTTCCCCGACTGTAAACCGATCCTTCACTTTCCCCAAATCATAACAGCAAAACGCAGAAACAAAAAAGCTAAGTTCTTTTTACGTCTAATCGTGATTGTTCTGATATACAATGTTCTTTCCGATTTTGATCTCCTCTTCTCTTTTCGGTTTGCAGGTCAATAGAGGTGGTGACGATGGAGGCTCTGACGGTGTTTGAAGAGTGAGCGATGACGCAATTAGGGTTTCAGATATTGAAACCCTATTCGTCTTCTCTTATGACTTCGACAATGAGGTCCGATATCGCGTTAATTCCTTCTTTTTTTCTGCTTTCTGTCCAGAATTTCTCCCCCATCCACTTCTGTATTCTGATTAGGCTATTTATAGGGTTTACGTTCTTACAAATTAGGCAATGTCGTTATGAATTTTTTAGATTAAGGCTTAGATTTACGGTGATTAGAGATTGAATTGTTGTAATTGATCCGATTTGATTCGTTTCTGTAATATTGGACTGATTTTATGTGATATTCGAGATAGTAAATAGAAAACTGAGATTTGATTGTAAAAAATTGATTATGTTTATTTTTGAGATTTATTTGTAAAAATCAAGATTTGATTTATTTTGATTTTTAGATTTGTACATCAATTATTTACTGAATCAATTCTGCGTTTTCTCCGCGTGATCTGCACAGTGATGGTTTTTTGGCCTTAGACTGTTCATTCTCTTTTCCTCACCCAGTATGCGTCTTCTGATTTTGGGCCTGCATTGCAACAACGTTTTTTTGTTTGATACGGTATTGGTCCTACCTCTTTTGGGCTTTGAAAATGATTTTTTACAAAAATAATTTGTAATAAAAAACAATAGTTTATAATAACTACAAACTAATAATAACAGTAACAATGTTTAAAATAAAATAAAACCATTTTCAAACATAAACCAAAATTGAGCAGGCCCAGACTGCATCCATTGTTTGGGTTGATAAAAAATGATTTGAAAATGTACACCCTCCTCTCTTTACTTTTTAACAACTCAAAAACCAAAACGGGCCAGCTGAAAAGCTTTAATGGGCCTGTAATCAAAATCATACCCCTCCTTATTACTTAAAACAACAAGGACCTTAATGGACTCTCATAGTTCCATAATCAAAATATTACCCCTTTCTTCAAAATAGGCTTCCATCTTATAATCTCATGGACCATTGGCCAACATGCCTCGCAAATGGACCAACGAACATATGGGTCTTTCTGATTTAGAAAGCCTCACTCTCTTGAATTAGGATACATCCCTTTGTTGATTTGAATTCTTATAAATGGGCCATCAGATATTGATGGTCCATTTTTTAGTTGAAACACCTTTTCTTCCATCTTTTACTTCGAAAATCGCACAGTGTGATATAATTATAAAGGTAGGGCAAATTTGCGGTACGACATAATGTATAGAAGAAGATGAGTAAATTTGAGAAGAATAACATGAGTCATAGTACCTGGACAATGGATAATTACAACATATGATAGAATAAAAGCATATGTTCCCAATCCCAACTCTGAAAGAGAAAGGAAATATGGAATATGGAAGGAACCAAAAAAAGATGGATGACTGTTACTGGTACTATTGAAGCTAAGTGTCCAGAAACTGATGCTTCATAAGCTATCCAGCCTCTGAAGATCATCCAGAAAAAGGAGCTTTTGGTGATTCTTATACTTTATGTGAAATATGTGATCAAAATTTCTTTAGAAGAATATTGCTGGAACAAAATGGTCTCCAGAATCGAGTAAATTAAGCTAAGAGAAAACAACTCAACAAACTGTCAAAAGTTGTGCAAAGGTATGTATTTTTCCATGTGATTTGCTTGACAGTTGCTAAACCTGGTAATTTTATATCAGTTAGAGGACTATTAGATTAATGACAAGCAATGCTTGAATATTGTTGCTATCTTTGTGGCAAAGAATCATGTATTTAATCGAGAATCAAACACTAGAAATAATTGATTTATCTAAACTGTTGTTTAAGGATACAATGTTTGGTTCTAAATTTTGGATTATAATTAGAGGATGATCAAAATCTATTATGATCAGAATCTCTAAAACAACCTTTGATTAATAGTAGACTATGAAGCATCTCCGTCTCTGATACTCATACTTTGACTAAGTGCTTCTAATAGTACATAAATAGAAAATCTGGTCAATTGCTTTCTTCTGACACTTGTCCATTTATGTGTCTCGAATCTGAAACATTCTCTGACACATGGTTTAAATCTGTTGAGTAAAAATCGTCAAGTAATAATGAATGTATCTTGAAACTTGTGTTTCTCGCCTCCTTGGTCATTAAGTTTCATTTAAATCAAATTGATTTTCACTCAAAACACTCAATGATTAGTAATTCATACACTCTCACACTTTACAACCCACACTTTTGTTTTCTAAACCTCATCTGAAAAACCCCTTTTCAAATATACCCATTTAGAATCCCTAACTTCATTTGCAATGGCGTCAACACCATCTTCTCATCAAGCAAGGACATGCTCTCTTGTCAACCCTAATGTTTCAAAGGTTTGTCAAGAGGAACCAGAGTTGGTTATATAGCGAAGCGTTAAATTTGAATCATGATAAGTGAATAGGTTTTCTCTAAAAGAGCACTTCGATCATCAAGTATGGCTAAACTTCTTTGATATGCTAAATGGTTTGTGTTATCCTTTCTTGGTAAGAGATTCCTGGGTTAATGCACAAGATATTGATAAGGTGTCTGATGCTGAAACCAAGGAGGTTGAGATAAGGTCAGTTGTAATACATGTTGAAGTAACCATTACCCATAACCTTGTTGCTAAGCTCATTGGTGTGAAGAATGAAGGAAAGTTCGTTGTAAATTCCAAGGATGGAAGCAAAGAAGTTGACAATATCAAGACCACCTTGTTCAATAATGACAACTATGTTGACTATGGTAAAGTAAAAAAATATGTATGTCCTATATAGACTTATGTTTAACATTTTGATATGTAGTTTAATCCAAGTTGTCGTTATACAACTTCTCTAACAAAGAAAACTTGACACGTGCCAATTGGTGTTCTTACACTGTTGAAAGGCTTCCTCATGGTCAACTACCAAATAAGCCACCGCCATATTCATTGCATCAGCCATGATCATCTTAGAATGATTAAGCAACCTTTCTCTAATAGAAAGGTGTAGGAGGCAAACGACACCATCCAATATAATCATCATCTCGTTAATGGAGAGGTGAAAAGATGATGTTTCGTTATATTATTCTTTTTTCTTGTAAACTATTTTATTGTCTTTTTTTCCTGTAAACTTTTTTATTGTCTTTTTTTTGTTAGTTTATTTTATCTTAAAAAATAGATTTTTTCTCTTTATTTTAATTTTTTTATAAACACATTTTTAAAATATTAAAAGTTTTTAAATTCATTTTTTTAAAAATTAAAAGACTAATTTTGACATTCAATAACATAAATATACATTATTGAAGATTAAAACATAGTCAAATTACAATTTAAAAAAATATATTTCAAAAATAATTTTTATAAAAAATTACTTAAAATAGTTTCAAATTAAGTGAGTTTTTAAAATTTGAAATCCAAAAAAAAAAAATTAAATACTTTTTATTTGAAACTTTTTTATAAAAAATTGTAATTTTTTTAATCAAAAATATATAATAGTAATATATTATAAAAATTATTAAAAAATACTAAAAGAAACGGATTTTTTTTTTCCGGTTTTCACCACCTATATAAATTGGTAGCAAACGGGCCTTTTGTCTCTTTGTAAAATGGATTCTTTAATAACATTTGATATTTAAAAATGTTTATATATTATGTAAATATTTTATACTTTAATCCTTCAATATGAATTAAAATAAATACTATAAACATAAATTTTAACGTAAACAGATTTTGTAAGGATTAAACTAAAACATTATTAAAGAACAAAAACAATAAATAATATAATTATAATGACTTAAAATACAAAAAAAAAATTACAAAAAACCAAAGATAAAAATAATAAAATTCCCGTGACAAAATGCATATTTAAACAGAGTAAGAAAATCATTTAGATTCATTAATATTTGGTGTTCCCTCTCGTCTTTTTTTGTTTACTTCATTCTTTTGGCTGATCCAACGTCATGCTGGTCATTTGGTCTCTTTTATCATGTTGGCATTAGTTACTTTATTCAAACTCTCCCAAAATTGAACAAGACACACATATGGGACTAAATATTTGGAAAATAATTGAAAACAATGACTGGTGTGAAATTCCAATAATACAGATTTAAGTTATTGAGGAGACATGGTCATTTTATCATTGAAAGATAATGTCTCATTAATTCACTTTTTTGGTGAAACACTTTTTTTTAATAAGCAAATGTCAATTATTACACGTGTTATGTTAATAGTCTGAATCTCTTGACACTCTTCTCAAACTTCTTCAAGTGTTTTACCTCAATCATTTGAATTATGCCATGCCTTGAACATCTAGGAAATGTATATCATTTTTTCTTAGCTCAGAGAATAATGTTGTATTGTAGATCAACTTATTGTGTTTGTGATTCTTAAGTTTTTAAATAAAAAACTGATCCAAACATGTGACTATTGCAACTTTTATAGGATAACTGATTACATTCCTACATATGGTCATTCGAATGATATGATTTTTACAGATAATAATGAAACTATGAGACTAGATAATCCGGAAAAGTGTTGCTACTAGGCTTATGGCAATACATAGAAGCAAATTTTGAATTATGAACATGAGATTATTATGGTTAATAAAAAGAACAAACTCGAGATGTTAGGCCGGACAACATTTGAAATAAGAATATGTATGCTAGCAACACACTCTTCTTAATTGTGGGGGAGCTTCGTGATTTACTAAGATCCGTTTGAATTTCAACTAACGTGTGTTGAGAAGAGTGTGTTGATGACACTCTTTTTGAAATATTCATTACTTCACTCGTAAGCATGTTCAAAAAGGAGAACCAACTGGAGGTGCAAGACCGAGGTACCGCATTATCTTTAACCGACGGTCCTTCTTTTCTGATTTCATTGGATATATGACCTCCTGGTAGAGAAATTATTCATTGTGTACATGAGAAACAAGTTATTATAATGACTATGCCGTTAGTAATGAGTTAGCAACTCACATCAAAATGAACTTTGGGTTTACGTTCTCTTTTTCCCCTACGTCTCTCTTGAAATTCGTTGATAGTTCTGCTTGAGCTAGGCGATGTATATTTACCTGCTCAAACCATAGATCCATATTAAAAAAAGCAAATGTCTTATGAATTATTCAATGTGATGTGGGTGTGTATGCTTTAGGGACAAGAGTCCAATAACAGTCAGTAATTTAGGCTAACAAATGTCCAAACCATGCATGGACAAACGAAATGATCCATGGATAATAGACAAGACGACCCATGTGAGACTTTTTTGAAGGAAGTGATCTGAATATCCATTTTGTTTGGCTAGAAGTATTTGCAACATAAAACGTGTGACTATCATATATCATATCACTGTCATTTGGCAATGAGTTCAAACATTTTTAGATCTACAATTTATTTCAATGAAATCCAAGAAACCAAACATTCAACAGTCAACAAAATTTATGATGCATAAAACTGATTCTGTGTGTTTGCGCACCCGAATGGACTTCCTGCACTAAACCACTTTACCGTGCAAAACATGGTTCTGAATAAAATAAATAAATAAGGAACATACCAGCTGAACGATCATGCTGAGTAGAGTGAGTAGACCTATCGGGACTCAAATTTTGGCAAGAACTAAGTTGTGTCTTCCTTTGCAGGGCCTAGTATCATATCAAATTAGAAGAAAAACGAAAAATTTAAAAACGGAAGGAGGATGAAAAATTAGAAGCAGATTGCTGAAATGGTAAATTAACATGCTCAACGTACTTGCTTTAGAGCAACTTGAAAATCATTTGAAGGGTTATTGCTCCTTTCTTCAAAAGACTGCAATAAGAATCACCCATAGACATGAGACAATCACAATGTATTTTAAGAAAACAGCCTAAGAATCACTCATAGACACGAGACAATCACAAAATACTCCCTCCGTAACGATTTATAAGCAAAAGTCAAATTTTCACACTTATTAAGAAAATTTAAATGTTCGTGTCTTTTTTGAAATGTTTTATGGAAAGGTGTAAAAACCATTTCAATTGGTTGTTGTTTATAGAAAAAATAAGAGAGAAAGTATATTTAATGCAGTTTGCATTTAATTTTACATTGGAAAAGATGTATTTTGAGAAAATCATGCCTAAATGAAATTAAATTGATGTTTTTTACTTATAAATTGTAACAAGAAAAGTGTATGTTTTTTGCTTATAAACCGTTACGGAGGGAGTATACTTTAAGAAAACAGCCGCAAAACTCTCCTAAACAATAGAATTTACAGCCTGTCATAAAAGAAATGGCGTGGGAAAAAAGAACCTTCAAATTATGCAACAACCCAAGTCTCAACAAAATAGAAAAGGGGAATTGAAAAGAAAAGAAAAAGTGGGTTAAAATAATTTACAACTGCAGAAATACATTGCAAACCACTATTTTAATGTTCACTATAAATGTGTGAGAATGAGGGATCCTATCCGTGGTTTTAAATTGCAGTTGCGGTGGCAAGCGCTGCGATTGCGGTCATAGAGACACGCATTGCAGTTGTTGCAGAGTGAATACTGATAAAAACAGTTAAAATTAAGACTTTTCATTGATCGAACTAAGATTGGGAATTTAAGTCTTGAAATTTAAAATTTTGATGAGAAAATTGAACAAACAAGGCCAAAATTATCTGGATGCGGTTCCTGATGCAGTCACACATGTGATTTAAAATCATGCTGCATCAGCAATACTGCTGCCACATTTGCAGTCCAATGCAGTTGCGAAGGCTACAGCATAAGCAACATTGCTTCCACAATTGCGGTTGCGGACTGCGACTTAAAACCATGATTCTATCTACAATTTAGACCAGTGTAATTTTGCGATTTAAAACCATGATTCTATCTACAATTTAGACCAGTGTGATTTTTATTAGATGTTAAACGCTACCAAAATTTAAATTTGAGATAGTGACTTCCAAAAGTTGCAAAAGCATAGTGAATGACAAGGATTAAACTCACATCCTCAAAAATTGAAACATCTGTCGCTGGATCAATCCAAGCACTGTAAATGAATAAATAATTATATTCAATACAATCAATCAGTAGGCAGATGGGTACAAGAAACTCCTGTGTGAAATATATGCCAAAATACCTGGGATAATTTCCATAAAACTGCACTAAAACATGTCCATCACTAACACAGTCAGTTAATGCACATTTTTCTTCCATGACCTGGAAAAGTTAATTTTTTAAATTATCATAATAGATGAAAAGGCTATGAAATTCAAACAAAATAGTGATGCTGCTGAATCAACTAGAGTCGGAGAAAATTCTAAAGGAGTAAGACTTCCCTTAATGCAACATCAAAGGTAAGGCAATATGCTCCTATAGTTTCTATTTCTAATACTATAGGGTACAGAAGTAACCAACAGCACAATTTTGCAGTAAATGAATTTGGAACAAAAGTTCAATCTCTAATAAATTGAAGGATTAAAAATTATCAGTGGGCGAAAATAGATTTTAAAAGAATAAGTTAACTTCTAGAGATCGCATGAAAAAATATAATCTTACACATTTCACAAAGAAAAGAGCAGGTTAGAACGAGTGAACAGATAAATGAAAGAGAAGTTTGTCACAGTTGACAGCCAGGACAAAAAAATTATGCTTTTGTATTCATATCACAAACTCTTTAATTAACATAATGCTACTCAGAAAAATATAATTAAAAAAGGAAAAGGAAAGTATCATGCAGCCTAAACTGATATTGACCCTATTCCATTTATTACATCAAACTCATTTTACATGCAGATTCTCTGATTTGGAAAATAAGGAAATGTTACTTCCAAATGTTTGTGTATTTGTTTTGTGTGGGTGAAACGCTTGTGTATTTTTTTAATTTGTGTATTTTCTACTAGACAAATTGGATTGTAAGTTAAGCGCATGCAAAAGATCCTCTAAGGATGCCAGAAAGATAGGGTGGGCTCTGTAAATATGAATCCCTTTTGTCCAATTAACTTCATTTTGGCCTATGCACAAGCACATTGATATAGGCAGAAAACCACAAATATTACAAGATATTAAGTAAATACCTCAGCAGGCCACCACATTTTACAAGTAGTTCTTGCCCATACGACATTTCCAGGGGTTACAGCAGGAGAACAATTATCACTTACAGATGATTCCCGAGGTGTAGATTCTGACGTCTTAATACAAGCATCCCTATAAATAAACATAAGTTTCAGTCTACTTAGAAACATAAAACTGAAAGGCTTCAAAAACAGTTAATTGTACCAGCATGCTAGTCCAGTAAAAAGCAAACCTATTGCCGCAAAGGTCAACTGAATCCAATTCTGCAACTGAAACATCAAAAGACTCAGATGAACATACGGGTCTACCCTCTTGGTACTTGCTGCATCGAACCAGTGCTTCTTTATAAAATTGTTTAACCATCATTCTTCTCTCTAGTGAACTGCTTGCAGTGACATTGGACAATCTCACTTCGTCAGAAGATGAACCAGGCGAGGAATCTGTTTGGAAGGATTGGCCAAATGATCGATCAGTCATATCTTTCAACAATCTTTTTTATCAAACTTTACTTAAGTTGAATTGATCTTTAAATCCCAATGAAACAGGTAACTCAATTCAAATTCTATTGTTACAGAGTAAATGTTTGAAGAAATAGACCAAACCTCCACGTTTGGCAACATCAGCAACATAATGTTAGATTACCGCATCTATAGAATTAGCTCTAATAGAACCTCATGGATCCAAATAACAAAAAAACTTCATTGAATCCTTTAAAAAATTGACAATGTATATAAGAAGCATTTTAGATTGAGGAGACACTACTTTAAAAGTTGAGGCATGAGAGTTTCAAGATATCTATCAAAAGCATTTTATCTTAGTGTAGCATTTTATCTGAGTTTAGATAAAATACAGTTTAAAAATACAAAACAAAACCCAATATTCAATTCAAAGAGTGTTCATTATTTGTCTACGACACAAATTCCATTCTGCACTTTTCCTCCAACACATGCACGCAAAAAAGATGGCTGGAGCCTTAAAATCAATTGGGAAAAAATGATTATATTATGAAAATGCACTAAACTATTTAGCATGCTAACAAAACCATGATTTCATTCCATTACAATGAAACTTGTTAAAGCAACAAGCACAAAAATAAATTGTTATTTCATTGCTTAACCATTGAAACACGATAAAAGTAATGTAAAACTAAAAAATTTAAATGCTTACAGAACTACCATCCAACCAAGTTTTATGTTGAAATATTATATCATCATGTAAGTGTGATCTGTTGGAAAAAAACCGCACATGCTAAAGATTAACCCACGCACTCAAGGATCTTTGATAGGACATACATGAGGGTTATTGCTTATTAGTATCTTACGATTATTGTGTCATGTATCAATTTTGAAACTAAATTGAACCCTATCAATATTGTTATGAGTCTTGCATTGGATGAGATAAGGTCTGAAAATGAGGTATACGTTAAAGAATTCCTTGCCTTACAAGCCAATTTTATAGAGTTGAGTTAAGCTCAACCCAAAATTTAAGCTGAAATCAGAGCCAATTCAAAATTCATTGGGTCACCGGCTCCCAGTCACTTAGACCATACTCTAGATATCAAGTCTTAGGCATGATGGGGTGTGTTGGATGAGAGAGGATCTTCATATGAGTTTATAAATGGAAGACATTCCCTGCCTTCCAAGCCGGTTTTGTAGGGCAGAGTAACTTCAAAACCAAATTCTAAGAGACGTGAATCTCTAGCGTGTATCTATTTGGACATGAATTTCATCTTGAATCCTATTTCACTATGATGAATTTTGATTCATTCTAATGAATCACAACCTAATCTAATTGTAATTGACCATTTTTTGTCAACCTTGTATAACCAGCCACTTTTCTGTTATAATTTGATATATGATATGACTTGAATGTTAATTATATTGAGGTTCATATATGATACCTGAAATTATAATTTGATTTTGTCACTTTTATTTTTACTTAAAAATGATATATTTTTATTGGCAATGTACCATAAAATTTATAGTAAGATCCGATTCACTATTTGAATCACAATATGATAACCAAGCCTAAACACACCGTAAAGTAAGTAATAACATATACAAAGACTTAATGTGGTTTGAGACCTCTTGTCTAAATCTGCTGAAACACCTCAACAAATAAATATATCCATCATCTCAAATAAGATTACAAAGATTGTACCTCCATCCCATTTTGTATCACCCTACAAACCCAATCACCCACTTGAACTACAAGGAACAATAAACACACTCATCTCTTACATACCACAAGTGATCACCCATACATCAATTCCTTCTCACAAAAAACATTAATTATAGCACCTCTCTGTATGATAGTGGGATTCCCTAAGTGTAAAGATATATACCACAATGCACGACTTTAATTTCCACTCACTCACTCACTCACACATCAGAAAATTTCAATTGATTTCCCAACACATTCAATTCTATAAAAATCTAAAATTCAAGTCATTTCCAGGCGCTACAAGCTTTGCAGTCTCAGCAGTTAACAATGAAAATCAAAACATAAACAAACCATAATGATCCCCAAAACCTAACCAAAAAAAAAAAAAATCAAATTCAACACATACACAGAGTTAAGCAATTGAAACAAAAACCAAAATGCAAACCCCCTAAATTAAAAACAACGGTAGTAGCATACCAATAGCAAAGTTGGAAAAAGAAGGAGGAGCCCGATTGAAAAACGAGAAATCAGTGCGGCGTTTAGGCGGCGAACTTCTAGGCTGTTGAGAATGTCTGGGAACACGATCAATCGGCGTCTTCATCTTTTTCTTTGCCATTGTTATGGAAAAAAGGGAAAAGAAACCCTAAAACGTGTTTGCAATAGAAATTGGTTGCATTGACGCAATTGAAAGGTTATTATAATGGGCCAGTTTGGATCCCATAATAGTAAGAGATGGTGTAGAAGTGAAATATCGATAGAATCAAAAGTGCTAACTACAATGAACACATGTATCGGAATTCTAGAATCATTAATTCGTTCCTAATAGATTTTTTATACTACGAACCAAACTGCAGACCTGACATGGTAACACACCACTCCAGATGTGTTTCATTTAAAACTTCAAGCTAAAAATTTACAACTATCGTTACTGTTATGAACAGTAAAAAAATTTGTTCATTAAACAATTGATTTATCTAATACATAATATACATAATATATAATAATGATTAAATATATTAATTGTTGAATTTTTATTTATTTTAAATTATTTTTCCATTTAGAATACTGATATAATATTTATTATTTTTTTCCACTTACTTACCCTTATTTAAAATAGTAATATGATTTTTTTTTTATTATCTTAAAAGGTATGAAACCTCAAAGAAAATATTTATTGTGAGATGGAAGAAGTAGAAGATATATATAATTGGAAAATAACTTTACTTATATTTAATGAATCAATTATTAATATTAAATATTTTTTAATTAAATTAGAGATATAATAATAATAATACAAATATTAATTAATTTAAAGTAATAATTTTTATTACTTATAATAGTGACTAAGATTTAAGGTTTCTTTTTTTATTTATAATAGTGATTTCAATGTCAAATTTTAAATAATAATGTCAATTATTATATTAATGTAATAATTATATTTCTAGTAATATAAATATCTCTTTTAATTCATATAAATACATATTAATTTTTTTAAATTAAAAGATATAAGTGATATCACCTATATATATATATATATATATATATATATATATATATATATATATATATATATATATATATATATATATGATTTTATTGGTTGATCATATCTTGAAAGTGAATTTGAGTTGATAACGTCTGTTTGGTTTGAAATTTGTGGAGAGGAGAGGGTGTACCTGTAAGGCACTATGAAGATCAAGTAAGAATGGATACAAAGAGATACAAGAAAGACATTACGATTTTTAGCATGAATAATGGATACCTGGCCCTCACAAGTGTGAGGATTTATATAGTTCCCCCAACGCGTAGTCATTGGTCCCTATTTTTGGGCCTAAATATACGGGTCCGCAAAAATAGGTAACTGTCAGAACTTGGTCAAAATGAGCAGTCGTGCCCATAACTAGCCGTTACATCGAGTAAGGATGAGATGACAGACATAAGCGTTTATGAGCATTTCTTGGGCGTCGACTCTTCATGTGTCGAGCAGACTGGGAGGTAGTTGTCCGCACGGGCAGGCGTGCATTTTGGGCATTGTTGATTGCATCGTTCGAGGGCGTGGTCGACCGGGGATGTTAGGCCAGCATTATTGGGCCGTGCCAAAGGTGGAAGCGGATTTGGCCAATTATAGTCCTTGAGTCAGTCCAAAACAAGAGCCCCCAAATCGTTGCTTCTGGTCATATGAGTAATGACTTAAGGCGTGCCCGAAAGAGGGGGACGTTTCATGGGCAACTCTATGTGAGGAGTTCGAGTGTTGCTCGGCGAGCCTATTTTGCAAGGAGAAGAACAATTAATTAGATCAAAAGAGGTAGCGTGTTGTGCTTGCGTCGAGTTACGTGTTGTCATAAAAGTGCAATAATGGCAAGCCTATGGACTATGGCATAATGATGACGCCTTTTGGAGTTCCCTAGGTGCGTGCCTGCCCACACGCTAGCAAAGTCAGTATATAAAAGGGAGAGAGTAAGCTTCATTAGCATTTTTCGCTTGCTCTTTCTCTGCTCGTTTTTTATCTCTGCTCTACGTAGTCGTTCTCCGCCGCAGTTTCTGCCCTTTTCGTCGTTTATCGCCACTAGTTTTCTCTAACTTGGTAAGTTTTACTGCTTTTCTTTCGTTTTTGCATAAATGTTTCTTGTTTTTAGGTTAGATTTCGCTTGCGATCATAGATATGCATGTGGTTAGGGTTAAGTTATCTTTAGATAAGATGACTTTTGGTGGTTTTGTCGCCTTTGAATGTAGACCCCATCGTGGGTTTGTTTGATGTTCCTTGGTGTCAAAGTCGGTAGTGGTGTTCTGTGGTGAAATTTCTGCAAAAATAGGTAACTGCCAGAACTTGGTCAAAATGAGCAGTCGTGTCCGTAACTAGCCGTTACATCGAGTAAGGATGAGATGACGGACATAAGCGTTTATGAGCGTTTCTTGGGCGTCGGCTCTTCATGTGTCGAGCAGACTGGGAGGTAGTTGTCCACACGAGCAGGCGTGCATTTTGGGCATTGTTGATTGCATCGTTCGAGGGCGTGGTCGACCAGGGATATTAGGCCAGCATTATTGGGCCATGCCAAAGGTGGAAGCGGATTTGGCCAATTGTAGTCATTGAGCCAGTCCAAAACAAGAGCCCTCAAATCGTTGCTTCTGGTCATAAGAGTAATGACTTAAGGCGTGCCCGAAAGAGGGGGACGTTTCATGGGCAGCTCTATGTGAGGAGTTCGAGTGTTGCTCGGCGAGCCTATTTTGCAAGGAGAAGAACAATTGATTAGATCAGAAGAGGTAGCGTGTTGTGCTTGCGTCGAGTTACGTGTTGTCATAAAAGTGCAATAATGGCAAGCCCATGGACTATGGCATAATGATGACGCCTTTTGGAGTTCCCTAGGCGCGTGCCTGCCCACACGCTAGCAAAGTCAGTATATAAAAGGGAGAAAGGAAGCTTCATTAGCATTTTTTGCTTGCTCTTTCTCTGCTCGTTTTTTATCTCTGCTCTATGCAGTCGTTCTCCGCCACAGTTTCTTCCCCTTTCATCGTTTACCGCCACTAGTTTTCTCTAACTTGGTAAGTTTTACTGCTTTTCTTTCGTTTTTGCATAAATGTTTCTTGTTTTTAGGTTAGATTTCGCTTGCGATCATATATATGCATGTGGTTAGGGTTAATTTATCTTTAGATAAGATGACTTTTGGTGGTTTTGTCGCCTTTGAATGTAGACCCCATCGTGGGTTTGTTTGACGTTCCTTGGTGGCAAAGTCGGTAGTGGTGTTCTGTGGTGAAATTTCCGGCGATACTGGATCATTTTCGGGGTTTTTTCTGATGCGTGTCTGGGCGAGGTTGAAAACCATTCGTCTGGGAAGGGACTATCCTCGTTGGAGTTATGGTTTGTCCCGGTGATCGAGCGCCTAATGCATTAGAGGGGAGTGCCTCGTTTTCCCTTCAGCATTTTTGAGTGAGGGCTCTGGTCGAGGACAACATCCTTGTTCACGCCCTTTCACTTGATTAGCGGTGGAAGGCTGAATTTGATTCGATGTCAAATTAACTTTTGCCCTATGCTTTTCAGGTATGATGGCCAATAGTACAGAAGATGATATTATGGGAGAGCATATTGATTCTGCAACGAGTTCGTCCGGGAGCACCTCGACAGAGGAAAGTACCTCGGGGCGCATGATCCAAGGTCGGGTGTGCCCAAGCAGGGTGTAGACGCGTAGGTTCATCCTGTTGTCAAGGACCCTTTAGCCCGAGTTGCACCAAACCCCATGGAGATCGTTTCTTATTTTGTTGAGCAACCATACGAGGTGTTTATGCTGGTGGCTTCGGAGATGGAGTCGGAGGAAACAGAGGAGGAGTGGACATTTTACATCCCTGGGAAGGATTACCAGATATGCTCAAAGTTTGAAGAGAACCATATCCATGTGTACAGAATTTTCTTTCAGGGGTTGGGTCTTCAACTTCCTTTCTTTGATCTTCATGTGGTCTTTTTTCGACAACTCTGTCTTGCTCCTTCTCAACTTCATCCCAATTCAACCGCCTTCTTGTGGACTTTTGAAATAATATGTGGTTATTTGCAGAAAGGGGCCACTTTCCCTTTTTTCTTTTATTGCTTCGGCCTCCAAATGGGACAGATTGGCAAGCAGTGGGGATGGGTTTCCTTGAAATAAGTCAACGGGAAGTTATTCAAGGCTTACATTGAATATGTCTGCCACTTTAAAGAGAGGTATATGCTTTTCCACCTCGTGTCAAAGAAGGCGTTATTGAATGTTTTTAGGAGTGTCCCATTGGTTGATGAAAAAGGGAACCTTGTGAAGAACTAGGAAGGGAACACGGTGGTGAAGTTGGTGCCAAAGTTTCGTTTCCATTGATTGAAGAAACATTTTGATCAGGGGATCGATCATTACATCTGGAAGAAGGAGCAGCTGGGTCCCGAGGATCAGGCCAGCCATGATCGTTTGTCGACCTTTGTTGTAGGGATACCCCTTGTCCAGTGTATGGGAAAAAGGGGTAGGCCCTTGATAGACGACGATGGGGAGCCCATGTTTGAACTGGAGCTTATAAATGTGAAAGAGCTTCTCAAATCCGAGGATCCCATTGCGTACTTAGGTAGTTTATCTTGTATTTTAGATTTTTCTTGCGTGCATATTTCTTTATCCTCGTTCACGGACTCTTATTCATTTTTTGTTATAGGAAGTATGAATGTTGCTCAGGAGCGTATGATCAAGTCGATTGCTGCTGCTAAAAAATCGAAGAAGGGGCGGAAGTCAGGAAAATGTCCTTAAGGTGATGCGTGGATGATCCCCCAAGCAGGTTTGAGGACGACATCGTCTGGTCCTTTGGTAGGGCATTCTTCTCCTCAATTAGTGTCTTCGAGGTTCAAGAGAGAGCGCATTGAGGGTACCGTTGATTTGTCGGGTGAGCAAGACAAGGGCAAGTTTGAGTTGCCTCCTTGCTTTTATAATAATAAATTCTTTGAAGGCTCCTCCTTGCAACTTCTTCAGGTTGAATCGTTGATGCTTGAGGATATAGACCTCCCGAGCAAGAGGGGGATACTATCCTGAGATGTTGGTGCAGTAATGGGGGTGTTGGGAATGGTTGTGGCGTATATCGAGGAAGGCACCTCTCTAAAGGGTGAGGATTACCCTCTCT